CTGTGGGGCGGCCGGGAGAGCAGGGACATACAGTTTGGAACCTCATTTCGTCATGGGAATTAATCTTGTGGCCATCACACCTTCCTGGCCCAGCTCTGATCACTCCTGCAAAGAAAAGTGCTGAGCAGGGGCCTCCTCCACTCACAGTCAGGCCCTTCACGCCCAGGAACCCTTTCCCCAGGAACAGGGTCCCCTCTGGGGCTTCTCAGAGACCCTCCGGAGCCCCACCTTCCTGGGGCTTCCCGCACTTTGCAATAGGCCTCAGGGCGGTGCAGGGAGACTCCCCAGGGCCTCTCTGCCTGTGAAAACTCACAGAAGAGGCTGTGCCATCAAGGGAGCCCTGGCTGTTTTGTGTCACCCCTGCCTTCCTCCTCCTCCGCTGGCTGGTGGGGGGTGGGAGGAGAGGAAGCGGAACCAGTGATGCAGACACACGCTCAAGGCTCCATAACACCCAGGGCTGAGGCCGGGGTGCCTGCACCCCCTGCCCTCCTGCCGGCTTTCACAATCAGGGACTCACATTCTGTTCAGAAGACGGGGATTCCAACAGAGGGTGAATTCTCTGTGACTGTGCGTTTGCAGGCTCTTGAGCAACCCCAGGGCATAAGAAGCATCTCTGCACACAGGAGCAAACCCTGCACCCGGAGGACAGGCTGCCCCCACCCAGGCTAGGAGGCACCCAGGTGCCCCAGCTCTCTCCACACTGGCTCCCACACAGGCATGTCCCCTAATGAAGTCGGGGCACCTGAATTGCCTGTGGCATCTGGTTGGCTCACTGGGGACCCCCGGGGACCCCCGCTGTGCTGGCTAGAACAGGAGCCTGATAAACGAACCCCAAGAAACACTTACAGCACAGCTCATAGCCAATACAGAGAAAGCAGAGACACATAGGAGACTTAATGATAAGAACAGGCATGGAGGCTTCTGGAACCAGCATGGCTGTGGCGATAGGGGTGGGGACGAGGGTGGGGGTGGGCACCCTTGGGGCAGCTTCACAGCGGAAAGGACCTAACTTAGGCAGTGAGGGCAGGAGAGGTGAGGCCAGGCCATCCTTGCCAAAGGGACCGTGGCACCAAGGTGTTACCTCAGGTGGAATGGGGTCAGGCCCTGGCATCAAACCTTTTGCGGGGAGGAGGGTCTCGTTGAGCAGGCCCCCAGCCCCTGGAGTTGGGAGGACCCCACCTCTCCTCTCCCTAGCACCCCTTCTTGTTTTCCTTGTGCTCATGTTTGTAATTTGGAGTAGCTGACGCAGCTGTGTGCTGAGTGTCTGTCTCCCCCATCACACAGCACACGGGTCGGTGCTGCTAGTGTCCGGCCCTGTGGCGGGCAGGCACGTCAGAAGGCTTAGTGTCTATCAACACAGACACAAAATGCCTAGGCTGCTGCCTCTCTGCCTGCCCCGCCCCTGCAGACTCAGAGGAGATCAGGTCTCTCCCTGAACGGTCCCAGCCACCGTCCCCAGACAGACAGAATTCTGGCTGAATCCTGGATCGTTTGAGGGACAGAGGGGCCTGGGCTAGGACCGATGGCAGCGCCAGCAGCACGGGGGCATATGGGCCCCTACTGCCTTGGGGAGTTCTGCTTTTGGGACTCACCCCCCTGCCCCGGGGAGTGAATTCCCTCTCGAACCCCTGCACCCCTAGCCAGTTCCCACAAGCCAAACCTTCTCTGCAACTCCCGACAGCCCGAAAGGGGAAACCTGGAGGAGCAAGGGCCTAGGAGGCTGCTCTGGGCCTGACCCGCAGATGGAGGGAACCGTGCCCTCTGCTGGCCAGGCCTTGCAGAGTCCCGGAAATCAGCAGCCAGGATCTGGAGCCTTCTGTAGGAGCATCTGTAAAGCGGAGGAGGAGGCAGCCCAGCTGCCCAACTGGCTCAAAATGATGGGCTTGGAACCCTCATCTCCAGGGCAGGTATTCTCCTGTGGGGGGCCAGGGAGGGGTAGCAGGACAGCCAGCCATGTATGGACTCACAACACCCACCCTTCCTCAGGTTGAGGCTGGAATCGCCTCAATCACAAGCCTCAAAGGAGACGGGACATCAATCCTTTATGACCAAACTGCCCGTCTTTCCCAAAACAGCATTACCCAGCCAGCCTTACACTACATTCTGTATGGTGGTTTCCAACGATATATCCAGCCTTTGAGGATAACGGCTGAGACCACTGGGGTGAGCATTCAAAAGAAGCCATGAGTCTGCCAGCCAGAGCCAAAGGGCTCCGCAAGCACAGTGACCGCCCTTGGCCGCCCCCTTAACCCCCCACCCACATGGACAGTGATGCAGGGAAGGCAGTGATGCTGCCCACGGATCAGAGCCCCCAGCTGGGTGGCAGCTGGAAGCCACATCCGGCAGATGGAGCCCCTAGGTAGAGGAGGGGTCCGCCCCGGGATGCCTGGGTGTGGGAGAGACAGATGCCCTGGGGATGGTTCAGGCTGGGGAGACCCACTAGGAAGTCTCTTCTTGTTGGATTGGGTGTAAGAGTCCATTTTTCAGTCCACAAAGATGTACTGAGCATCTCGTGTGAACAGACGCCCTGCGATGTCAGAGATCCTGCAGCAGACAAGGGTGTCAGCTCTCACTCAGAGGAGGGGCTGCTGACTGAGATGGAAGAAGGGACAGCAGGAGGTGGGCGTAATGCTGGAAAGGGGGGAGTCGCACCCTCAAACCCCTGAGCAGTGCAGCTGAAGAGTGGAGAGGAAGGCACCATGGCTGCAGGAGGGAGAGCAGACAGGGACCAGGGGGCGGCTGCAAGCGATCAGAGCCCCGGAGGCTGTCTCAGCACTGGGGCTTTGTCCTGAAAGCCAGGAGGGGCAGGGACATGTGTTAAGATGGGAGGCGCACAGAGCGGGGAAGGACATACATGGTGGTGATGTCACCAGACGCTGAGGGCAGCAGGGCGGACTAGAGGGGACATGAACAGGTCCACGGGCAGCTGGCAACCTGGAAACTGAGCCCCAGGGACAGGCTCAGATCTTCTTCCCTCATAGACTCAGTCCCAGCAGATCTCCTTGTCAGGATCACCCGGCAAGCTGTGCCGAATGCTGATGCCCAGGCCCCGCCCCCAGAGACACCAGTTTCTTGGGCCTGGGGAGCAGCCTGAGCTTCTGCATTTAACCCAGATGATCCCAGTGAGGGCTCTGACCAGAGTCCTCTTCTCCCTCTCCCCTCCAGTTCAGTTCAGTTCAGTCGCTCAGTCGTGTCCGACTCTTTGTGACCCCACGGACTGCAGCACGCCAGGCCTCCCTGTCCATCACCAACGCGCGGAGCTTACTCAAACTTATGTCCATCGAGTAGGTGATGCCATCCAACCATCTCATCCTCTGTTGTCCCCTTCTCCCGCCTTCAATCTTTCCCAACATCAGGGTTTTTTCCAGTGACAGTTGTTCATGTCAGGTGGCCAAAGTATTGAAACTTCAACATCAGTCCTTCGAATGAATATTCAGGACTGATTTCCTTTAGGATGGACAGGCTGGATCTCCTTGCTGTCCAAGGGACTCTCAAGAGCCTTCTCCAACACCACAGTTCAAAAGCATCAATTCTTTGGCTCTCAGCTTTCTTTATAGCCCAACTCTCACATTCAGACATGACTAGTGGGGCAACTGAGCAGTGCAGCTGGGGGTGGGGGGCAGGCAGGCTGCCCCTGGTGGCCCCCAGGACCATGGGGACTGTGGGCCCCACTGTTGACTCTGCACTCAACAGGACTTAGCATCCCCTCGCCTTTCCCTCCCTCCCACTCCCTGGAGCCTGTCTGGGGGCAGAACAGCAACAAGAGGCAGGAAATGAAGCTCAAACCAATCAGTTCCCAAGTCATCCTGGGAGGTGGTCTGGCTGATGAGCGAGGCTCACATGCGGCCCCCACGTCCTCACAGCGAGCGGCTGGCCACGAGCTTGCACTGCCGTCCCGGATGCCTAGCCTTCCAGAAATGCCTCCTTCCCACCTGTTGTCTTTGGGAGAGTGGAGGGAGTGGGCAGGAGAGGGCCCCTTCCCTCCCAGGGGACAGCAGGTCTGCCCTTGGGCCGTGCCCCAGGGTCAGACAGTGGCAGCTCTGAGCATTTTCTTCCCAGTTCTGTCCATTCAAGACCTAGTCCAGGGAAAGGCCATCAGCTATGAGAAAAAGGGCACATGCAGGAAAAATCAGTAAATGAGTCTATTGCTTTAACATTGGACCAAAACGCACAGGAGCTATGGTTGTTCATTTCTACCTGCCTGTCCCACTTCCGGCCCCTTCCTCTGTCTCCTCCAACCTATGTATCCCCTAGCCCACCCCTACCCCCATCCGAGGCCTTCCCTCTCTCTCCTCACTGAGCTCAGCCTGAAAGAGGGCTTCTTAAGTTTATGTCTCATCAGGACTTCCCTGGTGGCCTAGTGGCTGAGATTTGCACTCCTAATGCAAGGGGCTCAGGTTCGAATCCTAGTCAGGGGAAGAGATCCCATGTGCTGCAACTCAGAGTTCACATGCCACAGGGAAGATGGAAGATCCTATGTGTTACAACTAAGACCCGCAGAGCCAAATAAAGTATTGGTTTTAAAATCCTTAAAAAACAAAAAAATTGTCTTAGCTCCTTTGGACTCAGGGGCGTTGAGACCTAAGCAGCCCGAAACGTCTCATCAGAACCAGCTTGGCCGGCCCTCCCAGTGGGAGGCCAGGGACTGGGTCACCTGGCAGGCTCTCCAGGAGCCCCTGTCACTCACCGCCCCGGGCTGCCAGCTCCATCACGCTTCCAGCACTGATGCCCTGAGGGTCAGGCTGCCTCCAGCCTTTCTGGCCGCGACAGGCAGGAGAGCGGCCTCAAGGGCAGGTGAGCTGTGTGCTTGAACCCGACAGCTCAGGAAGAGGCCTATGTTGGTGCCGCCTGCTTGTTTCCTGAAGACCCGCAAGTCTGTGTTTAATATACTTTAGAACAATGTCTGGAAACTGCACTTTACTTTTTCAAATATACTTACGTGTCTTGATTTCAATCATGTGGACGATTTTACTCATGACCTAAGAATCCAGACAGGGCACCTTGCGTGCCATGGACGTGCCGCCATGGCCGTTTCATCTCTGGGTGCACGGAGAGCCTTGAGAAGCCGGGGCCGGCTGCGTGCAGGCGCTCGTGGCTGGCACTGCGCTGGATGCCAGCATGGAGACAGAAACAGGTCAGGTCCCTGCTCTCCAGGGGCTTGCGCTCTGGGTGGCAGCAGGGTGGGAGGCAGACCTCAAAGCAACAACAAAACAGGAAGAATTCCAGCTCCAGGGCTGCTGCGTGGGCGCCTCTGTGACAGGACAGCCAAAGACAGAATGAGCCGGCCTCTGACCTGGCCTTCGGGTGGAGCTGGCTGCAAGGACGGTGGGCAGGGCTTTGCAATGGGGCAGGGAGGCCAGGGGCCCTGGAGCCCTATAAGGCCCGAATGTGTGAAGAAGAGAAAGAGGTCAGTGTGGCCGAGCGGAGCAGGGCCAGGGGGCAACGGGAAGGCCTGGGGACAGTGGGCAGAGGCAGACATGGTTTCCATAGCAGGTGCTGGGGACGTGTCCGTGCGCTGCAAGCCACGTCGGAGCAGGCGTAGAAGGACTGGAGTTGTAAAAAGTTTGCTCTGGGAACTCTTTTTTTTCTTTGGAGAATAGGACACTAATGCATCCTTTTGCTCTTTCTTCCTTTAGGTGGTAGGAGTCAGGGGGAGGCCACCTGCAGGGTAGGGGGCAGGGCATCACCAGACAGGCCACCATGACCAAGCCAGCACAGGGGATGAAAACCCATGTTCAAGGTCGTATAGACAGGAAAGGATGATGAGAGCTGCCACTCAGGACTTCTGCCTCCCTATCCGGCCCCTTCATCTGCATCTCTCTCTAGGCCTGGACCACACGCAGCGTGCGGAGGCTTCATCGCTGCCTTGGGGATTAGAGGATGGTCTTGCCAATAGCCACCCTGAAGGCCAGCCACCCAGGAGACCCAGACCAAGCCCTGCCCGGGACCTGGAGAGCTCTGGGGAGCCCATCAGAGAGCCCCCCGCCACCCCAGGGCTGGAGCAACCCCTTCCCGTTTCCTGGACGAGAGAGGCTGTTGTTGGCAGAGCCCATCCTGAGAGTGACCAAGGACAAACCCTCACTCCCAGAGGAGGACCATACAGCAGCTGCAAACAGCTGATGGGATGGAGAACTTCCCCAGGCCAAGCAGCCCTGCTAAGCTGTCCCCCACATGCATGTCAAAGGAAAAAGGAAAGAGAAAGAAAATGGGATTCTACTTGTAGTTGGTCACTAGGGCCCAGCTCCAGAAGGGAGTTCAAACACCTTGTATCTCGGAGGCCAGGTTTGTAGAACCACTCCCCTCCCCTCCTGCTTGAAATGACCCTCAAGCTGCCTACCTGTGGTCATGCTGAGTCTGGGGTTGCTCGTGTTGACTGCGTGTGGCCCCCCTGCACCCTGGAAAGTTTAATGAACTCACCTGCTGCGCTTGGTAGCAAGATTTGCTTCATGACTAAATTGTTGTTGTTGGAAGTATTGTCATCACATGTGGGATTAGCATCCTTCACTGCAGTCCCTACTCACTATGCTGAGCTCACACTCCAAGCCTACACAATACGCCCCTTGTCAGTCAAGCTCCGTCACTGTCCTGAAGCTGGGAGGGCGTCTCACAGGGGCTCTGTGTCTCTGACAGAGAGGCCCATACGCTTGCTGCTTGTTGAGATCTGCCTTTCTGTGTCACCAGGAGAAAGGACACTCTCTACGCCTGGGTGGGTTTCCTTGTTACTGGATTCCTGAAAAGGGCCCAGACCGGCCAAAGGAGGACATGAACGAGGGCGCTCGATGGGCCTCCACCAGCCCTCACGTACACACCTGGTCCCACGTCCCCTCTGCAGACCCTTCCTCTTCCTCAAAGCATCCCAAACTAGAAACACCAGAAACATGACTTATCATGCGGCTCAACCTTGTGTGTGCTGCATGCTCAGTCACTCATTCGTGTCCAACTCTTTGTGACCCCATGGACTGTAGTCCACCAGGCTCCTCCGTCCATGGGATTCTCCAGACAAGAATACTGGAGTAAGTTGCCATGCCCTCCCCCTAGGGGATCTTCCCAACCTAGGAATCGAATCCGAGTCTCCTGTGTCTCCTGCATTGCAGGTGGATTCTTTATCGCTGAGCCACCGGGGAAGCCCATGGTTCAACATTAGTTGTGGTGAAATTAGCTCATTCAGAGCAGTTTAATGGACAGAGGTTCTGAACGAGGGCACAGCACGAAGAGGGTCATGTTAGCCACTCAGGCAGGGTCAGAAGGATCATTCATGGCAGGCTTTGAAGGCTGAACAGGAGTTCAGGCAAAGCAGGCAAGGAGGAAAAGGTGATGGCAGCAGAGACGGAGGCGGGAAGGTCCAGGGGATAAAAACAGTGTGGAGATGGTGTACTCTTGCTACCCAAGGAGGAGGTGGGGAGGAGACAGGGGAGGAGGTGGGGAGGAGGTGGTGGGGAGGTCAGGGAGAGGTGAGGAACTCCCAACCGCCATCCACACCAGGGAGAGCCACACCAGGGGTACTGGCTCCAGAAGACTCAGCAGCATCTTGAGATTATAAATCATGATTTTTACTTTTTAACAAAAATGGCTTTGATGCATAGACATGATTAGTTCCAGCCCCAAGTCCCACAAGCTCCCCAGGATTTCTGTCCATCCCCCAAATCTGGAAATATGATTTTAAAACTCAACATTCAAATAACTAAAGTCAAGGTATCCAGTTCCATTACTCCATGGCAAATAGAGAAACGATGGAAACAGTGACAGGCTTTATTTTCTTGGGCTCCAAAATCACTGCAGATGGCATCTGCAGCCATGAAATTAAAAGATGCTTGCTCCTTGGAAGAAAAGCTATGACAAACCTAGACAGTATATTAAAAAGCAGTAACACTACTTTGCCAACAAAGGTCTGTCTAGTAAAAGCTATGGTTTTTCCCATAGTTGTGTATGGATGTGAGAGTTGGACTATAAAGAGAGTTGAAAAAAATGGAAAAAAATAAAGAAAGAAAGCTGAGCACTGAAGAATTGATGCTTTTGAATTGTGGTATTGGAGAAGACTCTTGAGAGTCCTTGGACTGCAAGGAGATCAAACCAGTCAATCCTAAAGGAAATCAGTCCTGAATATTCATTGGAAGGACTAACGCTGAAGCTGAAACTCCAATACTTTGGCCACCTGATTTGAAGAACTGACTTATTTGAAAAGACCCTGATGCTGGGAAAGATTGAAGGCAGGAGGAGAAGGGGACGACAGAGGATGAGATGGCTGGATGGCATCACCAACTTGATGAACATGAGTTTAAGCAGCATCCGGGAGTTGATGATGGACAGGGAAGCCTAGCATGCTGCAGTCCATGGGGTCGCAAAGAGTCGGACACAACTGAGCGACTGAACTGGACTGAACTGAGCTGCCTCTGAGATCATGCTCCAGAAACGCAGGCTTCTTTCATCCTTTCTCTTTATGCGGCAAGTGTATGGAGTGCCTGCTGCGTATGGGGTGCAGGGCGTGGTTCACATAACAACAATGAAGCAATAAAGAAGGCCACCCTCGTGGGGCTTCCATTCCACGTGAGGCAGAGCAGGTAAGGAGAAACAGATGACAAACAAAGCACAATTATTGAATGTTATATGAAGATAATTGCCAGGAGGAAAACCAGTATGAGGGTGAGAATGAGTAAGAGTTGAAACTCAAAGACATCCCTCATCCCCTCCCCTCCGCCTCCTTTCTCTCTATTGATTTTGATTCAAAGCTCAGTTTCCTCTGCTCACAGTGAGCCTACAAGATCGTTCCATGCCTGGTAAAGTGTTGAGCTCAGCTTCTCTGGGGACTACTGATGTCTCTCATTAATTTTCCCAAAACTGCCTTCTCTATAAATAACTCAGGCAATTAAATTGTTTAGAAAAACCTTAAAGGTTTGCCGAGAATGAACATCATATTGTTCGCATTTTAACTGGAAAGATTACCAAGTGATTCCTGTTTTCCCATCTGATTGTTAAATCCTGATAAGTCAGCTTATTTTTGTTAACAAAATCACTGGATTCCTCCTGCTATGTCGTGTTCAAGTGAATTAACAGAGATTGGAGGCAAAAATTGGACAGGAGGAGTAACTGCACTCACAATGAGTTTCTATTCACAGGCTCATTAAAGCCAGCCGTGATGGTTTTAGGAAACGTGGGCTCATCTAGGTGTGCAAACAAGGCCTTCTGGCTCATGGAACAACTAAGAATAGCCGCGCTTGGCCGCCCTTCTCATCACATTGTTCAGCTTCAGGAAAATATTTTTGTTTTGAAGATTTCTAATCTGCTTTTGCTCTGGGCAGGGGTGAAGTTATAGAAATAGGCTCTTTTCCCCCTTAACACTTCAAAGCTTCCCCAAACGGTCCTTGTGGAAAATACCGGGGCACCAGAGAAGAAAATAACACCACTGTCTCCTTGCCATCCGTAATTTAAAGAGATGAGTCTCCAAAACTCTGTTCTCTAGGTTGGAAAGCTTGCCTGGAATAAGGTCACAGTTTGGATATATTTCGGATGGGTTAGCTCCTGAGCAGGTTTCTATAAATCCTTGGAGATGTTAAGAAAAGTATTTAAAATGTGCAAAAAGGGTCAAAAAGTGGGTGGCAGGAACTTTCATGACCACACTGGGCGATGTTTAACAAAGACCACCCAAAGATTCTTCAACTATCTGGGGAGGAGAAAGGGCAGGGTTTGACCTGCCATGTCCTTTGATTTGAAGTTAGACACTGTGAAATTATATGGTTCATTAGAGACCAAATCTAGGACAGATGCATATAATTTCTGCTCTGGAGGAACATAATCCAAAATATTACAATTTTTATTGCCCCAAAGGGCATTAACCCACCAGTGTTGACCCTGAGGCAGTAAACTTATCTCAGGATGATGTTTGAGGGCAGGGGGATGGAACTCTGATCCCCTACTCCTTTCTGAATGAACTTCCCCACCTGATTGACTCCCTCAGTGATAAGCTAAGTGCAGTACTGGGCTTATGTTCCTTCTGCATCTGTGTGAGTCTCATTATTTTAACTCTCGGAAGATTGGACCTTGACAGGAAGGACAAATTACCAAGGTGATGCCATGTTGACGATGCTGAGCCGCCCTGAGCCTGGTGCTTCTTTTAAGAACTCTTCCTGTCTCTGTTCCTGGTAGGGGCCCGCTGCAAAGACTCATTCCC